TTCCTTCTTCATTTGCATAGCTTGTAATTGTTCTTCTGGCTTATTCGTGCAGGCGTTTGGTTAATATCCTAACAGAAGAGAACAGTACAAGAGTAGCTGAAGCTGTTCCATATAGTTGTTCCGGCTTAACTCATTTACTGAGAGAATCATTGGGAGGGAATGCCAAACTCTCTGTGATATGTACAATCTCCCAAGAAGACAAGTATGGAGGAGTGTGTGTACTTGGATGACTTGAATAAGATTAATTTTCCTTTTATATAAATAATGATCAGATTGGATCATGAATTTCATAAATGCAGGCATATGAGTGACACTATAAGCACACTCAGATTTGGGAAGAAGGTGAAGCTCATGAAGAATGAACCAATCATCAATGAAATCACAGAAGATGATGTGAATGGCCTGAGTGATCAGATCCGTCTGCTGAAGGTACTCCCATTTTCTTTTTCATGATGAAGCTGAGTGGAAAACTGGAAATTCATCTAGGTAGTGTTTGGCAACTAGTATTTCATTTCAATTCATGTATTTCAATTCCAAAATTTGAAATCTTGAATTTCAAATGACAAGGAGATATGCATAAATTTCAAATTAAGCTTTGTTATCAATGAAAAGAATTTGACTCAAATCCAAATTCAAATTTTTTTCCCAAACATGGAATTTGAGCCAAATCCGGATTTGAAATCCAAATCCATGTTTCCAAACATACCACTAATTTATTCCGTTTGGGGTTACAGGAAGAACTGATAAGAGCAAGGTCCAGTACGAACAATGGATATTTCAAAGGACAAAGCAGCACGCGTGAGAGTTTGAATCAGTTGAGGGTGAGCCTTAACCGCTCACTGATCTTACCCCGTTTTGATAATAATGATCCCAAGGAAGAGGAGGAAATCAACATAAATGAGGATGACATTAAAGAACTTCAAACCCAGATTTATAATATTCGCAATTCACACGATGAAGGTAGTGTGATGAGTGAACCTTTTGTTAGCTGTTCAGAGGAAAGCGAAAGTGAAGAAGAAGAAGAAATGCCTGAGAGGGAGACTGGTCTCCAGGATCCTGTGTTCTCTGAATCCCCGAAATTTGGAAATGTCCAGAGGAAAAGCATAGTTGTTGCATCATCAAAAACCTCAGCGAAGAACAACGAGATCGATTTCCAAGAAGGTCTCAGAACTTCTGGATTACCACAAGAACCTGAGAAGGGAAACAGGAATCTCCAGACCTCTTCGTTGAGGTCGAGCAGAATCTTTCCTGGACCAACCGAGTGCTTGGCTGCGAGTCTCCAAAGAGGTTTGCAGATAATTGACCATCACCAGCAGAACTCCTCCGAATCGATGAGACCCTCCTTCTCCTTTGACCATTTTGCTGTAAAACAAGAATCATCATCACAAGAAGTTCAAGATAGCTGCTTGAAAACATGGATAGTTCCATTTAGCCATAATAACGGCGATAAACAGGTAAGCAAAAATGTTTGATCAAGTTATGTGTGAATTGCAATTTATGGACTTTTTACCAGCTCCCCACACACTTGACAACACTGCAGGAATTTGAAAAAGATCTAAAAGAAGCACTGGAAAGAGAGAAGAAGCTTGAAAGTGTTTGTGAGGAACAGGCAGAAAAGATCCAGAAGCTCATTCAATTGGTAAAATTCCCTACCATTCCATAGCTCCAACTGAAGTGCCATTTCTTTCCACATATCACTAACATTGTATAGCTCATCTCCATCATGACAGCTCTCACAGTGCAAATGTGAGGTTCAGAAGAGTGATCTTGTTGAGGCCATGGATGATAAGAATATGACTCAGCCAATAAATTCCCAAGAAAAGGTTTGTTATTTGGCCAGTTAACTCTTTTACTCCCATATTATAATACTATGAACAATTTGAAACTTCATGAATCTCTTTGTGCAGTTTCTGGAATGGAATGGTAAGGGGGAAGATAGTAATGAACAAGAGATTGTTAAAGAAATCCAGGGAGAGGTTGATCACAGTGATGGCGGAGGCGGTGGGACCCAATGCTTCGATGCTGCGGAGAGGGAGGCCCTTGTCAAAGAAATTGAAACCCTGAGGACCAAATTGCAAAAAGCACAGACCAGTGACGCCATTAGCATCAACAGATCGGTTGAAAAACTGCGGCAATCGAGAGGCATCAAGAAGAACAATGGCGAGAGAGAAGATCTGGAGTCGGAGAGGCAGAGATGGACGGAGATGGAGAGCGATTGGATCTCTCTGACCGACGAACTGAGAATCGACATCGAGACAATCCGGCAGCGAGCGGAGAAGGCGGAGACGGAACTGAAACTGGAGAAGAAGTGCACGGCGGAGCTGGACGACGCGCTGCGGAGATCCGTCGTAGGACACGCGAGGATGGTGGAGCACTACGTCGATCTCCAGGAGAAGCACAACGAGCTGGTGGAAAAGCACCGGCTGATCATGGCGGGGATCCAGGACATCAAAATGGCTGCGGCGAAAGCGGGAGGAGGCAGGAAGGGCAACCGGTTCGCCAAGTCACTCGCCGCCGAGCTGTCTGCCCTGAGAGTGGAGAGGGAGAGGGAGAGAGAGCTTCTGAGGAAGGAGAACAGGAGCCTCAAGGCTCAACTCCGAGACACCGCCGAAGCTGTTCATGCCGCCGGCGAACTTCTTGTACGACTGAGAGAGGCAGAGGAAACAGCTTCGGCTGCTGAGGTCTGTAGTAAATTCCAAACTTCTCCAAAATTAATCTTTCATTTTGTTTTTAAATTTCTTACAGCAAATTCCATGGCGTTGCAGGAGAAGATAACAAAGGCAGAGGAAGAAAAGGAGAGCTTGAAGAAGCAAATGGAGAAACAGAGAAGAAAGCACAAGATGGAGATGGCCACCATGAAAGGGTACCTTGCTCAGAGCAGATTACCAGAAGCTGCTTTGATGGGTCACAATGATACTAAACCCCATTCAAATTATGATCATGATGATGATGATGATCAAGCATGGAGGGCAGAATTTGGTGCCATATATCAGCAAGACTATGATTGAGGACTCAGCTCCAAAAATTACTGCATTGCCCCTGCTTGGGACATGCAGAGATTCTTCATTCATCTTAGCAATGGGTGTTATCTCTAGTGTGAGTTTGTTGATGATGATGATGATGGCCATCAAACAAGTATGATTGTATGGAGATTTTTATTTATTTTGTAAACTTTATTGTTAATTTTCAATTTTAAATTAAATGGTCTTGAATTAGATTAGTATACTTTAGATTTTTATCTTTTTAAAATATCATTTCTTTAGTTGTTCAAAAGAGTAGTGTTCATTAATCAGATATAGAATAAAAAATTATAAATCACATATGAAGTGCAATTCAATTATGAGAACATGACAAAAATAAAATAAAATTAATAAGAAGATAATAAAACACCTCAAGGTCAACTGTTTACGGATGGATTAAGTTAGTTATATCCCAAAAATTATACTTCAAATTTTATACCAAATGTATGTATTTTTATTGTGTCAATGTAATACTAGTGTGATGGTTCATACAAGTATAAAATACTATTGTAATTTTTTTTATTGCACTAGCATATTGTATAATGAATCATTGAAACATTAGTGCATAACTTTGATGTACACTTTCGGATACATTTCATGGAGTACCCTTAGCATGTTGATTTAGGGATAACACTTTCATTACTAGCTTGAAGAGCGTACAAAAATGATCTTTAGACTATTCTCTTTTCCATTTCAATCCTTCCGTCCTAAGATAGATGTCACCGTCACTATTACGGTTCATTGATTATTTGGTAAAATAAAATATTTTTGTAACCACTCGTTTTGTAAAATTTTTTATATATATTTTTGAGCGATATACTTTATACGTGTTCTATCTATACCAATTTATAAATAGAACAATTATAAACATAATGAGATTTTACACGTTTAGATTGTAGTATCCATTGTGGGACGAAAAGAGTATCTTGCTATTAAAACATTGAGTAGTGCTTCCATTATATCTTTTCCATAAAATGTAAACTTTCTCACAATTTTCATGGATTAATATGTGAATCTTTTATTTTATTCAAAAAGCCTAATTCATCAATAGCACTTATACTAAGGTCTAGTGATTCACAAAATGAGTGTGGACTTTAAGACTATGAAAGAATTTGTCTAAAATTTTTTATGAGATGTTGCTAAATCTATCCCTTTAATATTAAATGGATAATTGTGTCTTTAAATGATAGGTTGCATCTAAAGTTCCTCTTTTGTGTTTAAAGAAACTTAAACATGATTAAAATTTAATATCTTTCAATATTACAATTTTTGTTAAAAGAATAGTACTTCGTGTATGTTAAATATCCCTCAAATTTGGAGATATCAATTTGTGAACCGCAATATTTCTCTCAACCATCTATCACTAATATTGGCCATCTCAAAAATTTCTAAGGTCTCGTTTGGTACATGGAATTCAAACTATGTAATTAGAATTGAGGACTTCAATTCCAATTCTGGTGTTTGGTAGCACAAAATTTATGTGGATTTAGAATTGATAGTGCAAAAATGAACTGGAATTAGAAGAATTCAATTCTATGGAATTGAATCCCATGGAATATCAACTCCAATTCAATTCCACCAATTCCATATACCAAACGGACCCTAAAAAGAATTACTCCCTCCATCCCACTATCTTTTTCCACTTACCTTTTGGCACACCATCCAATGCACTTCTTTAATCCATTTTATCTTATAATTTGTATATTAAAAAATTATAGAAATTTTATATCAATAATCTATATGTTAAGTCAAATCAAACAAGATCACATATGACTATATTTAGGCTTACACATTGAGAGAATTTGATGAGTCAAAGTGCTTAGATAAACAGTTCCAAAAGTTAAAAGTGGACAAAGACAGTGGGACGAAGGTAGTATTTTAGATCTTAGAAGTACAGACATTAGGGCTAGACCAAACGACGCCGTCTCTTCAAGCGAATCCTACATTTTCTATAGGAATATCCATCCGAATTTGGAACGTCTGGTAGAGCTAAGGTCCGGGTGCTTCTAGTCAAACCAACCCCATAGTAGGGTTTCGCCGGCAAGCCAAATTGATTCACATAGAAAGCCATGGCGCCGACGAATTCTCCGAACTCCGGCACCGGCTCCGATGCTGAGAGCACTCCAGCTTCGGATTTGAATGCCAAACCCGATCCAAATGTCAGTGTCACTTCCGACGCACTGGCCAGCCCTTCCAGCCCGCCCGTCGTCTGCTTGTATAGATTCGCGGCAGACTCTTTCGGCGGGGCGTTCATGGGTTCTATTTTCGGATACGGTAAACGTCTCTTTGGTCCCACCGGCCTTTAATCACTTTTCAATGTTTGTAATTTTCAATCGTAATCGTTGAATTGAATGAAGAGTTTCTACATTGAAATTTATATGCTTTATTCGACTCGTGTGGTTTTGAGGAAATGGTGATATGCTATTTTGCATTTTTTTTCATTTTTTGGGTGGAGGGATTGTCTAAATGTTTGTTATTCTATTGGCATTTTGGAAGATAAAGTTGTGCTATTGATACTCATGTAGAGTAGAGAGAACTAATAATTTTTTTTTGAAGTCAGAGAGAACTAATATGAATTAACCAAATTCGTTCGAAAAAGTGGAAAATATGAAAATGTGGAACCTTCTTGTGAGACAAATAAAGCGGATAATATCTGGATACACTATTGAGACTGTGTGTTTGTGTACTAAATGATATACTGAGTTACACTTTATTATCCATGAATTCATCAGGTGCAGGGCTGTTTAAGAAGAAGGGATTCAAAGGATCGTTTGCAGAGGCAGGCTCATCTGCAAAGGTATTTGAACCATCATAGATACAAATTATTTGACCAAGGAAATATCACTACTGTCTACTTGTGAATTAGTAGGCATATATCTGTAAATTGAGTATCAATATGATTTTTGCCTCCCTCTTTAGACATTTGCAGTGTTGTCTGGAGTACACAGCGTTGTGGTCTGCTTTTTGAAGAGGCTGAGGGGAAAAGACGATAGTAAGCTCAGTCAATTTCTTTACACCTTCATGACCTCAAATGTTTTTCTTTATCATTTAGTTGTTCTTTATGTTTCACAGTAATTAATGCTGGAGTAGCTGGGTGTTGCACGGGTCTTGCCCTAAGTTTTCCAGGTAGTTTCCCACACTTCTCTCATGAACTACTCTCTCCATACCGCAATAAGCCAACAACATTCCACAATTGATCAAACGTGGCTATTAATAATGGTTAAAGTGTGTGGTTGAGTTTTGTGTAGAGAAGTTAGAAATTGTGCAGACTATACAATTCCTTCGTCAAAAGGATTTTTTTTGGGACAAATTGAAAAGAAAGGTGAAAGTGCATTACAACAACAACCTACCCATGTATATCCCGCAAGTGAGGTATGGGGATTGATGTATGGATTTTGTGCACACCTAACACAGACCTTCATAAGGTTGTAAAGACACATGTGAGTACATGCCTATAGGTTAAGGTACAGAAATAAGAAAAGCTAAAAAACAATTGGCAAACGGAATGCCACAAGGAAAACACTCCACCAAATAACCCAAAGGACACTAAACACACAAAGCACCACTCCAAACTAAGCGTACCCTACATCTTTAATCCTTGACATTCAAATGCTTCTTCTATCTAAGGTCATGTCCTCAAGTCACGTGGGGTAAATTTTACCTATGGTATACGAACTTTCATCATTATTTCACTTCGGTATATAAACTTTAATTTCTATCACAAAAGTACACGAACTTTCAACATTCTTTCACCGGTGGTCCAATAGGCGGTTTCTAGGTCACCTTCAGGTCATTTGGGGTCAAATTATAATTTTATAAATTTAAATTTTTTATTTTGACTCCACCCTTCTCTCCCTTTTCTCTCTTCCTCTTTCCCAGCCAGCCCCCCCCCCACCACCACCCCCCACGCATTTGCTGTACGATACGCACCCCCAAAAAAACAAAAAACAAAACAAAAAATTGAAAAAAATTGGCTAAAGAAAAAAAATAAAGAATATAATTCTCCGTATATATATAAGTGTAATAAAAATTTGTGTTATTAATATTGAAGTACCTTGTAGTGGGAGCTCCAAAGATCAATATTGAGAGCTTTTCGGTACTGATCAAAGAGCTGCTTGGTACTATATATAATTAAAAAACATGATAAACATGGAATTAATTGAGGATAAAAGAAAAGAAATTTAAAAAAGAGAAATAGTGTAAAACAAAACAAACAAAATAAAGAAAAAAAGTGGCAAAAGAAAAGGAGAAGGAACCAGAGGGAGGGGCTGATGTATTCATGGAGTTTTCCGGACATGGAGATCATGATGATGGCGTCCTTGGCGTCGCAGAGGACGGTGAGCTCGTGGGCCTTCTTGAAAAGCTCATTTCTCCTCTTTGAGTACGTCACTTGCCTGTTCGTCTGGTTCTCTAGAAACGAAGAAGAAGAAGAAGAAAGAAGAATGGGTGCGTGGGGGTGGGGGGGGGGCTGGCTGGGAAAGAGGAAGAGAGAAAAGGGAGAGAATGGTGGGGTCAAAATAAAAAATTTAAATTTATAAAATTATAATTTGACCCCAAATGACCTGAAGGTGACCTAGAAACCGCCTATTAGACCACCGGTGAAAGAATGTTGAAAGTTCGTGTACTTTTGTGATAGAAATTAAAGTTTATATACCGAAGTGAAATAATGATGAAAGTTCGTATACCATAGGTGAAATTTACCCAGTCACGTGTGATCATTTTGTCCCAACACATCTCCGTCCTACCATCCTCAAACTCCCTAACTTGCACCTTTCATGAATTTTCTTGTGTTGATCGTGCTCTAAGTTTGGTTCGTGCACCTGCACCATTTCTTGTTGAGGCCATCTTGCATCATCATTTCATTTTTGTTCCCTTTTTGTGCTTGATTTTTCTTGTTTCATAGAAACATCAAAATCATTTTCAATCCTTAGGATTAGTTTCCCGTACGATTAGGATCTGAAATACACTCCTTTTTGTCATACTTTTCATCTCTAAGTAATTTGGTTTGATGGTTTCTCAGGTGCACCTCAGGCCCTACTGCAAAGCTGCCTCACTTTTGGGGCATTTTCCTTCATAATCGAAGGTCTTAACAAACAGCAGCCCGCCTTAGCACTGTCATCTTCATCGGGTCTCAGAGGCAGCCAGCAACCGTTGCCCCTTCCGTTATCACTCCCTCTCCCAAATGAGCTTAGGGACTCTTTCTCTTTCTATTGCCAGTCCCTAAAAAGACATGGGAAGAACAATAATGGCCCTCACTAGTTCAGATGATCAATTGTTAGTTTTCTTGTTTTGTCACTCTTAAAATCTAGGGATGGGCATATAAGGTTTTATGCTTCTTTAAAGAACTAAAGATTGTTTGCTGCTTTTGGGATGTTTGGATTTTCCATATTTGTTCCACCTTGATGAGATTTGTTTAACTCTGTTGATTCTATGAAAATTTCTATATAAACAATAAATAATATAAAGTAAATTTTCAAAATGGTTCTTTTCAATAAGCTATTTTTCCGAATTATATCTCAATAAGTAATAAATTTGTACGTGGTATAATAAATCTGTACGTGGTACAAAGCACGCCATATTTGTAATTCTTCTCTCCGTAGTCCTTTGTCAAAAACTACGTAGTACGGAGTATGTTATATGATTATTAAGTGAGAGTATTTTGGTATTATCTACTCTGTATCATCTAAATTTGGAATAAATTTAGAAAATGATCCTTTCTTATTAAATATATATTATCCCAAAATAGTCCATTCTAATTAAGAAGGTGTAATCAATTCCAATAATTAAAATATTTAGACAAAATTTTCATAATCTGTACATTATTTAAAGTTGATGATTTTTTTCAATTCTATATGGAGTTGTACAGATTTTAATGCATTTTAGTCAGGGTATTATTTTATATCAAGCTTTTTTTAGATCATTAAAGTCCATATATTATTTCAACATCAATAAATGATTATAAATGTACTAAAATGATTAAAAGAAAAAGTATAGAATACAGAGTACAAAAGTAAAATTAAATTATGACTCAAACTAAAGTGTTTGATATAAAACATGTGGATAAAAAAAGAATCTATTAGGAAATATCAAATGAATTTATTTTTCAAAAGAAAAATTAGAGTTACATCTTCTTATACATTTCACAAAAAACAATCTAAAAAATAAAAAAAATCACATTTATTTTACACTTTTTTTAGAGAGTAATTTATTTTTTTAGAGAGTACATTTAAAGTTCATCTTTTATACTACAAATGCAGTAAGATTCATATAATGACCAAGAATTTGCTTTCCAAAGCTTTAGCTTAGATTATACTCCGTAGAAGGTGATTAGAAAAGACTGCATGCTTTTTCCTTCTTTCTGTCAAAAGTTTTCAGATTTATTTAAAAATAATTATTAAATTGAGAGATACTTCACAGTCCATATATTGTACAATTTGTATTTATTATTTGATCTCCGACGGTGTGGACAAGGTATGATGTTTTTATTTACATATTTCAAAAACTAAATTTATTCATTTTTATTTTTATTTCCAAACATAATACTTTTGATATTACAAGTACTCTGCATTACTTTTTATGCTAATTAAGTACGCCATTGGATTATTTTATTCTAATGAAGTAGTGTACGTCTACATTTAATTTTTTTTGTAGTCAAATCCGTGCCTTCCCGCATTCTGTAATTTTTAAAATTACCGTTTTCTTAATCCGTCCCCGTCCCCATATATGTACCGGTCTTGATGCAACTTGCTAGATGGATGCCCTTCTTTTTTTTTAGTAAAAGTGTAACAGAGATAAAATTTAAACTTGGCACTAATTTTAATTTAGAAGGGGCTAAAAAAATATTTTCGCACCATATCATTGTATTATTACTTTCAGTGTCATTAATTCTTTTTAATGGAATACAATTATGGTAGTTAAAGTTAATTATGGTAACGAACCCTTCCAATATCTAGAAAGTTAATTAGCTTAGCAAATATAATTATTTTCCTGTAGAAAGTTAATTAGCTTACTACGTATATATGGTAAAAGTGAACAAATCTATATAAATGTATATAAAACGATTAGGTTATTTAACTAACGTACTTTTTTTTGTTGAAAATTTTCTTTATATAATTAACACAACATCCATATCTAAAGGTGTGATCTTCATCATCGTCTTCATCAATTCGTCATGGGTAAAGCTCTGCAAATATGCAAAAGAATAGGGGCTTGTTGCATAAATACTTTTGACACTGTTTTCCCCTCTCCTCCCACGCTCGACCCCGGAAATCTCTCTTTCACGGTACACACATTCTCTCTCTATTACTAATGTGTTCCTAAACGATTGTCCCACTTGTTTGATCGAACGGAACTGTGGTTAAATTATAGAAAATGTATATTTAGTTATAATGTAAATTTAGTAAAATTGAATTTATTCTAAAATATAGTTTTGAAATATCAAAATTTTATAATATTTAATTATTTTTTGAACTATACGAGTATTTAATGTTTTAATTTGTGGTCTAAGGATATCACAATTTGACCAAAAAGTCAAAATGTGATCTCTCTGGGTGTTTCTTCATTTTCTACTTTTTTTTTGTTAAAATTGATAAATTTTGATCATAAGTTATGTAAACATGATGTTAGATATTGATATAGAAATAATTTTATTATATATATCCATTTGATAAAAAAATATGTTCAAAATATTATTTAATTTAATTAACAAATAATATACGGAATATATTTTATTTAATTATAAGTCAAAAATTAAAAATAATTTATTACAAAAAGTCAAAACATGATATATACCGCGGAATAGAGGTAATAACACATTTACGGAGTATTAATAGAAGAAAACCTAATTATATTGATTGGTTTGTTATAATGCAAAATTGCAGACTTGCTTGTTAAAAGTGGACATAAATTCTACAGGGTGGCAGAAAGAAGTCGAGGCTGTCTTGAAAAGCTTTGAGGGTATGTTAGTCATTTTCCTTTATTTATTTCTTGATGTACTCCCTAATACTTCTTGTGTCTCAATTTTGATTACAAATTGAGAATTATGACGTAAAACTTTATATCTTTTGAAATCATTGTATATATAAATTGATACAAAAAAGAGATGAAAAAAATGTTTTATTTTATCAAATATTCAACGAAAATATAAAAGTAAACAAAAATTAATGAAAGATGAGAAAAAAAATTGTAATCAATTAGGGACATGTAGAGTAATAAGAGTAAATTAATAATAATAATAATAATAATAGTAATAATAATAATAATAATAATACTCTCTTCGTCCAACAATTTGTTTTCTATTTTGACTTAATGCGGAAATAAGAAAATTTTAAAAATGTGGTTCAATGTGCACGGAATATAATAAATAATGTAGATTTGAAATATGGATATAAAAAATTGCACATTCATTAAAAGTTTCTTACCATAGTATAAAACAGAAAAAAATTGTAGGCAACCGAAGAAAGTGAGAAAATTATTAAAGAAGATTTTCACATTTTAATTCTCAAAATAAGAATTACAATAATAATAATGCCAACATATACAGATCTATATGGACCTTCTGATAAAATTTTTAAATTTTAAAAAACTCGTTTAACATATATAAAGATACGCAATGAACTCTAGGTGAATGTAATAATTTGGCTATAGTGAAAGCTTTTATTTTATAACAAAATATTTAATTTCTATTTTGATATTTTCTCAATATTTTATTCTTATTTTAATCAATTTTTTACGTTTTTCATTTTTAAATATATTCAGGAGTGAGAAATTTTACTATGAGCGGAGACGGAAAGGCATTGGTGACGGGGGAGGCGGATTTGAAAATGCTATTGAAGATGCTGGAAAAGGCTAAAAAGTCCATCAGGGCTATTTGGGTTCAATTGGGCCAGTGTTCTGAAAATATGTTATCTATTAATGGGCTTGATCCTCGCCAAGACGGCCCAACTCGGCCCATCAGGGTCGGCTTCCGATCCGGCAACGACGCCGTTTGGCAACAACCGACCTCCCAAATAATCCGGACGCCTGCGCTTTATGATTATTACTCATATAATTACGATGGTGCCCCTCACAATCCGGCCCCTTTTTATTATCAATACTAATGGTGTAGTTCAAAACTCATAAGATGGTAAAAATTCATTTTCAACTTTTTTTTATTATCATTTGTTTATTCTTATTATAATTAGAATAGATCAGAAATAATTTTAAATCTAAATTTTTTAAAATAAAATTACATTTTATTCATATTAGATCAGAGCCAATCAGATAATAAGCCCTAAGTTTGAAACGTCCAATATTTTATTTTATAAATATATGCAAAAGGATATAGTATGTGATGCACAATAGTCATTATTCTTGTCTATGGTTTGACAAGAATAATTTTCCTATTCTTTGAAAGGATTTCCTCTATATGGATATATTTGTAGTAATTCCCTTTTAAGTATCCTTAAAAGCGTTCTTGTTATGATTAACAAAATTTGACGAATATTATTTTTTATAATATTATCATAAAATTAAATGAAATTGGGAAGACTCAAAAGAGAGGAAGAGAATATTATTATTATGAAAGAAAATAGACCCTTTGATATTACTAATATTTTTTATAATAATTTAATGAAGTGCTACTAGTAATAAAAAATATTATAAGTTCATCCATTTTACACTCTTTCATCTACCGATAATGAACGAAATAATACTCCCCTTGCTTTTCAAAATACTTATCTTTTATGTTTTTTTTCTTTTTCGAGAATATGCACTTCCATTCTCTATTAAAAATTTATTTTTACATTTTCTAATTCTTACTATATTTATCACATCATATTTTACACTTTCTTCTTATAGATATGCCAAAGAATATTCCCCGCTTTATTTTTTCCTTTTAAAATATATAAGCATGTAGTTTACATAATTAATCTCTTATTTTAAAAAATTTAATCATATATTTTTTCAAACTAAAAGTAAACTAGGTGAAAACAACACTTCGGGGCTACTTTCTCGTTTCGAGAAGAAATCAAAAGCCATGCATTTCTTATTTAATTACTTCCTTTTAAAGTAATGAATCAAAATGTGGGTCACTAAGTTTTATGTTATCTTAAACAAATTTAAACATTTAACTATGATGTCAATTTGATCGTTTTATTACAAAAAATATAACCCGCCAAGAGTGAGTTTTTTCGGTTAAAAATTCTACGCAATCCGCCCCAATTATAAAGTGTTTCCCTATTAAATTCTTCTAAATATATGGAAATAAGTCAAATAATTAATAACCTCTTCCATTTACCCATATATATATATATATATATATATATATATATATATATATATATATATATATCCACTACTTAATGCAGATTTTGTTACCAAAATTTCGGATAAACTAAACTTTTAAGCCTTGCATTTTCTTCATATTCTCTTCAAATCATCAAATTAGTGTGTGCAATTAATCATTCAATCCTAACGGCTGGAATAATTATATTTGAGATATAATATAATTAGTTCGAATATTATATTATTATTATTCAATGTCAACTCTTAATAATCTCAACTCTT